TTAACAAAGAACATATTGTTCTTCACTTTCAGGTACTAATGAAAGAATCTTCTGTATCAAAGAATATCCTGCCATCAAGACAGATGCCCGACTATTATTTCTGTAGAGTCTTCAATTAACTTATTAATGAGAATTTAAATGCATTTCCTAATAATCTAAAATACTTATCGAATAAACTTTTCAAAAATTTTAAATATTTAACTTATTTTAATAGAATTATTGTTATCTAAATTCACACACATGATACACTGTTACTAGATAGATGAACACAAAATATTTAACTGCAAAAAATGCTTTTATTGTCTATTTTTCACAACATATTTTCTTTCAATCTACACTTTGTTTTACATACTAGTTTCAACTGCATGTATCCTTTTTTTTAATAAACTTTATCTGAAATTCATATGAGGTTGTTAACATGACTGACTTTCTTTAAATTGTAAATCAAATTCAAAACATGGGAAAACAAACTACAAACGATAACCTGAAGCTGAGTTAAGAAAAAATAGAGCAATTCTTCTTTCAGTCCCCCTTCACAACAGGATTTGATACTTACACAAAAATCCCTTATTGGTAGTGTATAAGAGTAACAATAGTTTACTGGCATTCACTTTAAATATCTAACAAAATGAACATATTTCAACTAAATGATCACTAGTAGTACAAGGCATGAAACAGATTTAGATTTATCTACCCTAGTAAGTAATTAGATTCAAAACATCTATGAAAAATGCTATTTTTTACACATTAAACTCCTTCTCAAACAGAAAGATGTTGCAGATACATTGTATGGGTATGTTTGAATGTATATATATATATATAGGTATTTACAAGCATACAATTATCGGTAAAAGCAGCTTTAAAATCTTTTTTTGCACTTAAAGTCAACAGTAAAAATTGGAGTTCAGTTATGAGAAATCACAGTATCTACTTGAACATTATTACCATAAAGTTTTGCTGTTCCACTATCACAGAAGTTATAACAAATCACCAAGGTAAAATAACATCTTTTACCATGAGACTTGAATTTAGGTTCTTAACCTACTCAACAAATACTTTACAGAAAGAACAATGTTCTTACTATCTGAACAATTCAAGTATCTCACTCTTATGCCAAAGCTTATTCATACATTATGTAGCAAGTCAGTCACAGAATAAATCCCTAATAAACCCAGCTCAGATGGTCCTCAAAAGTTTTCTGTCAAACTAGTATATATATATCAGATGGCCATTAACGGTTCCATCCTAATTAACCCAGCTCAGATGGCCCTCACAAGTTTTATACCTAATTAACCCTACTCAAATGATCATCCGAGATTCTCTAACCACCAACTCAATTCAGATAATCCTCACAATTTTCCTAACCACTTAACTCTTTCACTACCATGGGATAATATATGTTCTCCTCTAGAACATTGCCATGGTAGTTTGGATCTTTGTACAACCATGAAAAAAGATATTCCTATTAAAACGTCACAAAGTTTACCAGTTTCAGATAAATAATGAAATACTAAAATGTGTTTTCGTTTTCTATTGTATATCTAAATATAAACGTTACACTGGGAGAGTTGTTTACCTATAAATGGGCAGTAAAAGAGTTTACCAAACTCAATGGCCCTAAGGAAGGAAATAACTACCAGTCACGAGCAAATTCTAAGAAGTTAAAATGTAATTCTGTTTTGAATATCATGTTTCTGCTTTACCAACCATTATAGAAGGGTGAAAAGGCATTCTCTTTTGAACTTTATGGCTCTGCTCTTCCAATTCCTATATCAAGGTGAAACATTTATTCTATTTTTGCTCTTCAAACTACTGTAGCAGGGTTAAAAGTAATTCTGTTTGAAACCCTCTGCCTCTGCTCTTCCAACTATTGTAGCAGGGTAAAAAGTAATTCTGTTTGAAACTCTCTGCCTCTGCTCTTTAAACTACTGTAGCAGGGTTAAAAGTAATTCTGTTTGAAACTCTCTGCCTCTGCTCTTCCAACTATTGTAGCAGGGTAAAAAGTAATTCTGTTTGAAACTCTCTGCCTCTGCTCTTCAAACTACTGTAGCAGGGTAAAAAGTAATTCTGTTTGAAACTCTCTGCCTCTGCTCTTCAAACTACTGTAGCAGGGTTAAAAGTCATTCTGTTTGAAACTCTCTGCCTCTGCTCTTCCAACTATTGTAGCAGGGTTAAAAGTCATTCTGTTTGAAACTCTCTGCCTCTGCTCTTCCAACTATTGTAGCAGGGTAAAAAGTTATTTCATTTTAAACTCTATGTCTTTCCTCTGCTGACTAGTGTAACGGTGTAAAAGTTATTCTGTTTTGAACTCTACGTCTCTGCTCTAGTGATTGAGCTCTATGACTTTGTTCCTCTGACTACTGTATCAAGGTAAAAATGTTATTTTTGTAAATTCTCTGTCTCTGTTCTACTGAGTGGTGTAGCAGGGTAAAGAGTTATTAGTGTTTTAATTCAATGATTCTTCTAAACATTTAATGCTCTGTTCAATTTAACTATACTATTATCTTGATTGTTAATCCAACCTTCATAACCAGTGGATTATTTACATTGTTAAAAATGCAAGATCTGCTTTAAATAAAAATTGGCTCAAGTTCTTATTTTAAAGTTAACACAAGAATTAGACTAAAAACCAAAGACAATTGTATGTAAATGGAGAATTTATCAACTTGTCTAATGACTATATCACTATAACTGCAGTATGGTTAATACAAACCTTCAAAAAGAAGATGTTAAGTGAGAGTGGCATTACATCATCTCCTATCCACCCTACCTGTTACTTTTAAGATGGACATTTAATCCTGAACAGCAGATACTACACTTACAATAATAATCCTGCTTTGGTAAGTAAAAGCAGAGCATCTTTGTGGAAAAATGTTATATAGTTCCATCAATAAAGGTATAATCTCAGCCTAAGAATACAAAATAATACAAACACTTGAATTCTTTAGTATATCTACATTTATATATATGGTTATTTGCTTTACATACATGTACATATACAAACTACACAAGGCTACTTCTTGTGTAACAAAAGGAAAGGCAGTGAGCATTAACAGAGTTGAATTTCTATATTTAATATGCTGGATTTTCTAGAGCAAAATATATTGATTCTACACATTCTTGTGAAAGGAATTATTCAATTATATTCTAAGTTCAGATACAATTACAGAGATATCAAATGATATAGAAGTAACTACACATTATTGTTCAATCTTGTGCATAACAAACAACAAAGGTGTTTTTGTGTTCAAAAAACATACAATAAATAACATAAACTGTTTAATGATAATGAATGGAAAGTTACTTCTGTAATGGAAAGTCCTCAACTTTGGATGGTCAACTTTACAACATTTTAACAATGTTATCTTTATAAACTATTAATATGAAAGAGTTCCTGGTTATATGTTGTCCATTGATGTACGAGACTAAATAATTAAGATTCAATATTTCTTTATCTTAACATGGAAACTATGAACATGAGTAGCAATTGTTCTTGAATTCAAAGGCTGGATACAGGTGGTGTTACCACATGTCTGATTTGCCTTGTGTTACAGGATACATAGTAGCTATAGTGATATCAGAAACACTGTCACTTTCAGATGTTGAGGAGGACCTCTGAGAGAGGACCACAGAATCGAATATATCTGGTAGGATCTGAAAAAAAAAACCTAAACTTCTACACTTTTGTTTTGATGCTTTTCATTTTTTCTTTTACAATCAAAACATACAACTTCTTGTCAAAATACATAACATACCCTATATGAACAACAAGGGGCTTTTTGTTCCTTAAAGGCTGTCCTTACACATCTATCCTTGAGAAGAGTAAAAATTTAAACTCATCTTCCTTTTATTTTTCAGGAAATAATTAAATATCCTTTTAAATACCCTGATAAAAATTAAAACGGTAACCTAACCTGTCTTTTTTTAAATCTTAAACTTGGACAGTTTTGTCCTATACTGTCTTTAGTATACAACACAAAGAAATCAGAAGCCTTTTGATCCACAGATAATCTTATAAACATCAATACGATCACTGCTTATCATTCTTTTCCCAAAGGAGAATAAATTATGGGATCTTAACCTAACCCTGTAAGATAACCCTTCCATCCCCAGAATCATCCTAGAAGCCATCTTCTGAACCCCTTCCAATAAGTCCATTTTCTTTCTTAGACCAAAATTGTACACAGTATTCCAAGTGAGACCTAACTAGTGATTTGTGTATGGAAATAATTACCTCTTTTGACCTGTAATTGATATGTCTATTAACACATTCTAATATTCTATTGGCTTTACTACTAGCATCAGACCATTGCCTCAATGGTTTGAGTGTCTTATCCATCACTATGCTAAGATCCTTTCCTTAAGTCAGTGAGCTCTAATCTTATTAAGCATGTGATCTCATTCATGATAACCCAAATTAATTGTCTTGCATTGCCTTTGTTCTTGTTCTTCCTAAGTAAATTAAATAATAATTCTAACTATGAAACTGACAGTTTGAATACGTTATAAACAATACTGAATTCATAAAGCTAACAGGAAAAGATGCTAATTACAAAATTGAAATTTTGAATATCTTATAAATAATATCATATTAATGAAGCATCCAAGAAAAGATACTGAGTATTAAACTGACAGTTTGAATATGTTACAAACAATTTAAATTAATAAAGCATCTAATTTGTAGTTTCTATGGAAACTGTAAGTAGGCAACATAATCATTCCTTAAGAGAAGTTTCATGGAATAATGTATGTTTATGTCTTAAAAGCTTTCAATCACTTTTGAATAATAAAGAATCACTGTTTTACATAATACTTTAGAAAAAACTAGAGTTACTGTGACATAGTCTTAATATTAGGCATTAAGGTAATAAAGGAATGTATGTTTGTTTGTACGGATATTTTTTATCTGTGTTTTACTAGTTAGCAGCATTTTGATTAAATGTGACAAATATAACTTTAACTTAACATTTTGGAATCGGTGTACTTGAACAGAAGTTATTAACTATTTTCCTATATGAAACTGCTATACAAACGTTATACCAAAAAATAGTAGAAAACATCTGTAGTAAATCATTATACATATTTTCTGACCTCGTGATCATTTTCAGAAGAAGAATTGGATGAACTTTCTTCTTGTGCAAAATTATGAATACCCGATGGCTGAGCTTCATCTGCTGCCTCCACCTGATGTGGAATGTCTGGGTTAGAATGACTAGAAAGAAATTCATTGGGTGTATTGTGACTACTGGAGTATTCACTAGTGTTTTCTTCTTCTGATAAATTCCCCTCAGAGCTGTGGGTGGAGATGGACTGCCCACTCTCCCCCTGGTAAAGTTTCCTAAAAAACGTTATGAAAACAATTGTCATCAAAATATTTCATTTAGGTATCTGGAGTAGCAGGGATACTATTTTCATATATGACAATCAAGGTAGTGTTCACTCAATTTATATAGGTCATTCAAAATATTCTTGCCATTAAACACAACATGCACTTAAAAGCCACAGGCAGAAGCCTACTGAAGTGACTTAACATTTTAAGAACTTTTTCAATGTTTTTGTTATGAAGTACTTGATGCTTATCCATGTAAGGTTTAGTGACCCTAAATCAATGGATGAAATTTGAAAAAAAAAGAAACTCAAACCAAACGTTCCAATGATGCTTCAAAAAATTATTACTTCTTCAGCCATACTTTGTATTTTTAGGAGTGACGTGGTACACAAAACGTTACATTCCTTGTTTCTCTTATTTGTTATGTCTTTATTTTTTTTAAATACAATTTTGTTTTCTTTGCTGCATTTACATTTCTGATGAACTTTTAAAGTTAACTAATATATTTTTTGAATATGTGATAAATATTCAAATACATCAAAATAATTTAGTATAAGGTGATAAAATCCATGAAATGTTCATATACCTATGAGGTCTAACAAAAATAAAAATAATTTACTATAAGGTGATAAAATCCATGAAATGTTCATATACCTATGAGGTCTAACATATATAAAAATAATTTAATATAAGGTGATAAACTTCTTGAAATGTTCATATACCTATGAGGTCTAAGATTCTCATCACTATCATCTACTTCCCCTTCCTCCTCAGAACTAGACTCCTCTATGGTCTGCTAAAAAGAAAAAATATTATAATTATATGTTTTGAATGAGTATGAAAAGAAAGTTTTGAATATTTGGGTAAAGCTACCCTGAAGGATCTTACACAAATCATGCTGTAGGAATACCTGATTTATTACACATGTAGGCAAATCTCATCATACAGTAATAGAAAAATATAATTTTAAACAAGTATGAATACGTACAATTTCTAGTGAATATTTCATTAAATATCGTAAAAAATCAAAAGCCCAGATTTTAAAAAACTTAAATTTATTTGTGCAAAGACAATGTTTTTATGCATTTTCTTTAAAGATTTTATCACATTTATTTTACTACAGAGGTCAGCACTGATTCACTGAATCTTGGGATCACAGAGATAATTGAGAACAATTAAGTTTGTATTGAAAGTTTATGTATCAACAACATGAAATTTTACAGTAAATTGTAGCTGGATAACTAACCTGAGAACTACCAGGTGTTTGGCTTCCACATGCTTGCTGACTGCTGATACCAACAGGAGAAACATCAGTGGGTGATTGACCACTCTCTGTATCTGTCCTTTTTCTTAATTTTCTGGATTTTTGGCTACAATTATTATACAATGTTGGACAAAGTTTTCCAGAACTATCAACATCTGATATACCACCAACATATTCTTTGTTGTGATCTGGTACTGACACTTCAGTTTTCTTGTTCATGTTAGTATCATCAGAAAGTATTGATGTCCTACATTGATCAGAAATCTGTTTTTCCGCTATCTGAATATTGTCCTGTTGATGACCCAAAATATAGTTACTGTTTACACATATATTCAAACAAAAAGGACATTTTGAACCCTCATATGTCACCTGACAAGTTGGACATGACAAACTATATTCATTTCTTTTTGCTACATGGTTACTAGGTGTTAATGTACCTGCAAACCTTCCTAATAATGGATCCTCCTGCCAGCAAGAGTCACAAGTTACAGTAGATGTAGAATTATCTAACATATCAAAAGCTTCAGTCTGAGTTGCACTGTCTACAAAGCTACGCAAGTGCCTTCGAGGACTAGGTCTTGGTGATGAATGATTACTTTCTGAAACTCCTAGATGGTTGTAAGTTCCAGAGCTGCCACAACTTCCTGTGCGTCTATGTCTCATTCGACGCAATCGCATTTTGGCAGAACCTTGAGAGATGGGTGTTGGTGGATCTGCAGCTATGGCTCCAATTTTTTGGGGGCTTTCAGGGCTAAAAATCAAAAATATATTGCTTTGTATGACTACCAGTCCATGAGAAAATACTAGAGTTATGACTTACCTATCTCTTTTACACATTGTAAAGTATCATAAAAAAGTAATGCTTTATCTTGAGCAACATAACATACTAGAGATTTATATACTAGCAAAATCATTAGAAATCTCATAAACACATTTATCTAAATATTTCACAGTAACTAAGTTAATGTGTATAATATTCTTTAAGAGATGGAATAATGACATCAACTATTTACACAAGCTCTACTTTCCTGTGCCTTTGGTACTTATAAATCTGACTTTCTTGGACATCTTACAATTTATAACACCACATTCATTTATAGCTTCAAAATGAAACACTTAATTCAACAGTAAATGTTTTAAATGAAAAAATAGGAAAGAGGCATGTTATTTATACGGCTAATAGTTACTGTTGTTGCGTTGGCCAAGAGTTATTTTTTGTTAAGCATTTCTATCTGTAACCTCCCCATTTTTGGCATTTCTCTTTGAAGTTGGAGTAAATGTATCAGTAAATTGTAGCTTGGTATAATGACATGCATAAAAGATATTAAAAAATAAAACCTGGCATATCAAAATTTCTGAAATCAAAATAATCAGATAACTACTTACACAAACAAGATTAAATAACAATATTGTTAATTTTAGGGCTCAGTTCCTGAAAAAAATATCAATCTGGTCAGGTGTGAAAATTATATTTCCAAACACAAATTAAGCAATCAGAGAAACTACTGCGATACAGATACGTCCTTCTGGCCAAAAGTTAGTTGTCTAGGCAGCCTAGGGACTCCAGTTTACTAAACTATTTTTTTTTAAAGCTTTCAAGCCACAAAACTACGTTAGCCATTTAAAAAATTATACTACTTCTTACAATTTCCTGCCCCCAGTGGCACAGCAATATGTCTGTGGACTTACAATGCTAGAATCCAGGTTTCGATACCTGTGGTGGGCAGAGCACAGATAGCCCATTGTGTAGCTTTGTGCTTAATTACAAACAAACAAATTTACAATTTCCAACATCAACATGAATACTACATGACCATTTATTAACCATCTTGTTATGAAACCACATGGTACACACTTACATATTGTATTTAATTTTGCTAATAAAAAAACTCAGTTTTGGAAAATGTTAAAAAAATTGGAACTTTAGTAAGAATAATAAAAACATAACTGCCAAGTACATAAGAAAAACAAACCTGGTAAGCTCTGACTGTGATTTATAAGTACGTTTTTTGTTTAATCTTTCATGTGCTTTCAATAGTGGCCTCACAATTCTCTTCTTTGGTGGTTTACAACCCATTGTCTCAAGTACACTTTGTTCTCTCCTGTAAAAATATACTCACTGAGTAAACAAACTAAAAGTAACAAACAAACATATTCTATTAAAAAAAAACTGAAAAAGAAATACTCACATCATTTTTATTTGAAATAAACAGTCTTTAAAACAACATTAATTTAAAATATTCTAATCTAAGATAGGAATATTTTTATATTCGTATCTATATTCCAAAAGCTGTAGATATTCACTTGGATTTTAATATTTAAAAAAAAAGTAGTTTCATGTGAAAGAAGAAAAGTTTTCTATACTACAATTACTAGACACTGTTTTCATCACATAGTTTGACATTATTATTTGTTTTTTAATACCAGTGGAAAAAGGAAATATATTTAGAATGTTCAATAAAACTGTATTGTTCGAGTATAGATTAAAAATAAATGTTGTTTGTGGCCATTAAGTATAACAACAAAAAGCTTGCTACCAAAAGTTGCAGTAGTGGAGCATTGTGAATGCTGTTGATGGACTATATGTAAGTCATACTTGGCTACCAAAAAATGATGATATTTCCATTATTATCAACCTTATTGTGGTATTAAACCACACACACACATACACTGAGTGGTCACAAGTAAATAGACACCTAATTTTTCGTCATTTAACTGATTTATGCTAAATAATTTGTGTTCACAGAGCACTATATAAATGAAAATGGTCTGCACACTAATTATCTTGTGCTACAACATGCCTAGAACTCAAGATTCTCTCGAATTGTCAGATTTTGTTAGAGGAAGGATAGTTGGTCAAGCAGATGGTGGAATAAGTCAGCCGCAAATTTCGCAGAATTTGGGAATCCCGCTTTCGACAGTCAACAGAATCATCGTGCAGTTCAGGAAACACGGCAAGGAAACAACTGAGCAGTGTCCGGGTCGTCCTAGTCCATCGGAGAGGACAATAAGGGCTGTCAAGAGGAGCATC